AAAAGCATAAATAGAGCAATTACCATAAAAGTAATAGAGAAAGTTGTCAAAAAGCTAACTTGCAAAAAAGACCTGGAGCCCATGAATTTAAAGGGGAATTGTACCAGGTCTTAAAGGAACAGGTGACTCCAATAACATCTCAATTTTTCCAAAGTATAAAAAAGAAAGTCTTCCAAATTATTTTTATGAAGCTCACATTGATAAAACTAGATAGAGATATGATGAAAGAAGAAAATTATAGGCAAATCCCATTTGTGAATATAATGCATAAATTTTAAGCAGAATATTGGCAAACAGAACTCAGCAGCACATCAAAAGTATAATCCACCATGACTAAGTGATGCTTATTCCAGGACTGTATTGATGTTCTAAATTTGGAAAATCTTATAATGCAATTGAACATATTAGTAGATCAAAAGTTAAAATATGGCCATCTGAGAAATCAAAAAATATTAATTATTTAGTTTAATAAAATTTAATATCCATTTTTAGTACAAACCAACCAACAAATAAAAACACTTAACAGGAAGAGGTAGATGATTTCTCCACATGGCACTCAGGCATATATATCCCAGCATCATGCCTAATAGGAGAATCCCAAAAGCTTTTCCATTAAACTTTAGAATAAGCCATGGCAGAAGCTTCTGGTTACCTCCCAGTAAACATTTGTTCCTTTAGGAAAAGAACTCTGACTTAATTCTAAAATTTACTTTTTTGAAAAAGCAAGAATAGAGAGTACACTTATGAAAATAACGAGTAACAAGGGATTACATGACTGGCCTGATATTAAACCATGTTATGGAGCCATAGTAACTAAATCAGTATGGTACTGAAGTGTGCATACATAGGACAATAGGAGAAAAAAAAGAGAAAGGCCAAAGATAAAGAACTTTGGTATATTATCAACATGGTGTTTCAAATTGGTGGAGAAAAGATGGACTTTTCAATAAGTTGTATTGGCACTGAGTAGCTTTCTGGAAAAGAAAATCAGATGATCCTACCTTATCCTAGACATCAAAATAAAAGACAGAAATGTCAAAGATTAAATATTTTAAAAATGAAACCATAAAAGCACAAGAAGAAAACAGAGGATGTCGGTTCTCCCACTGCCGGAGACCGACAAAGCCGGGCTGGAAGAGACCCCGGACCAGCCGGCGGCAACCTCTTATGGGGCTGAGCGGGATGATGAGTGTCGCAGGCCCGATCCCCTCTGCGCTTCGGCCCCGGGGACAAAGAAAGAACACCGAGCCAGGAGAGCGGTCAAAGCCGGAACTCTGTTTATTACAGCAGACAGGGATTTTTATAAGGTACTAGGGGCGGGGGAGCCCTTATCCAATAGGGAGTTGACACACTGCTATCCGGGGGGAGGGGTGAGGACAGGGCAAGCGGGAAAAACGTGCAAAGTCACTGTACCCCGGAAGAGAAGGCAGCTGGCGACGTGTACATTAGCGCTTATGAAATGGCGGCGGCAAACTTATGCCTTTAAAATGGCTACTGTTGAAAGACAGGATTTACACATGGACAGGCACCTTATGGTGGAAATGCACCGAAATGTGGCCCAACAAGAGGAGACTTTAAAATAAATCTTTGAGTGGGAAGGTCTTTCAAAGTATAACACAAAACCTAGAAATCACTTTTAAAAAGATTGATAATTTTGACTATGTGAAAATTTTTTTGAAAAATTCTCCAGGGCTGGGCCGGCCCGGTGGCGCACTGGATAGTGCACCGCTTGGGAAGCGCGGCGGCGCTCCCGCCCGAGGGTTCGGATCCCACATACAGACCAGTTCCCACTCACTGGCTGAGCGAGGTGCAGGAGCAACACCGAGGGTTGCAATCCCGTTGCCGGTCCCTGGTCCGGTACAGGCGTGACACTGAGGGTTGCGGTCCGTTGCCGGACACGGAAAAAAAGACAAAAGACAAAAAAAAAAAAAATTCTCCAGGGCAAAAAAATTTTTTAAAACACACTAAGGTCAACTAGAGAAAAAATCATATTTTCAACACGTTGTGTACAAGAGCTAATTCTCTTAATACATAAAGAACTTCCATATGAAAAAGACTACAATGAACTATAGAAAAATTGGCAAAGGATATGAACCAAAATTTTGCAGAAAGGAAATAGAAAGGTCTCACAAGCACATTAAAAGATCACTAACTCCACTTTTATTAAGAAACACGCAAATTAAAATTTAATGAGATTATTTTCTCTTCCATCAAATTGGCAAAGATAATTTTCATAGCTTTCATTCACTGACACAACCTCTGAAGGGAGAGGGCTTCAGCAATATCTGTCAAATTTACAAATGCATACCCTTACATTCAGAAGTCACACTCCTAGGGATGTATCCCTCAGACTATACTCTCACATAAGTACAACGCTGTCTACTCAAAGACATTCAATGGAGCACCATTTTAATATGAACATATTGGAAACAATAACTATCACTAAGGGGCTGCTTAACTCAATGGCGTATGGTATCTCCATGGTTGAAATACTTTGCAGCCAATGAAAAGTAACAAAGCACTTGTTCATTCATGATCTATTTACTGAGTGCCCATTATGTGTCGGGCTCTGCTCTACCCCTGCAGACAAATCTGCAGGACAAGAAGTCCAGCAAGGTGAAGCATGCATTGCACTGTGAGGAGACAGCGACACAAGAAGTGGAGTAAGATGGTAAGAGCCACAGAAAATAATAGAGAGAGGATCAGGTGTTGGTGTGATTTTAAATGGGGTAGCTGGATAGCCTCCCTAAGATGACATTTGAGCAAGACTGGGATCATAAACAACCAGGAGCCCATGCCTGCACGCGCTGGAGCAGAAGGGCAGACAGGGTCAGAAAGATGAAGAGGTCCAGGCAGACTGAGCGGGCAGCACCTGGGTGCCTGAGAGGGCACTGACTGGCAGCAGAGGTTTGGAGGCACTGGTGCAATGTGATACTATTTCCATATTTTAAAAGCATCACTGTGGCTGCTATGTTGAGAAGAGGCTGAAGGGGGACAGGTGGAAGAAGAGACCACACAGAGGCCTGGGGGATGACGTGGGGGGGAAGGCACATGGGTAGCTCTCTATGTCTGTGTAGGATGATCACCAAGATACACTGTTAAATGAAAACAGCAAGACATAGAGCAGTGTTTAGTCACATGAGACACATGCACACACACACACATTTATACTTCATTGTGTATAGAATTTATTTGGAAGATCACCTGAGAACATAATATTGCTGCTTCCTGGAAAGAGAACTGGGTGGCTAGTGGACAGGGACAGGAGGGAGATTGACTATTTATCTTTTTGCACCTTTTGAATTTTTTTTTTTTTGTCTTTTTGTCTTTTTCCATGTCCGGCAACGGATCGCAACCCTCAGTGTTGCCCCCTTACCGGACCGGGGACCGGCAACGGGATTGCAACCCTCGGTGTTGCTCCCGCGCCTCACTCAGCCAGTGAGCAGGAACCGGTCTGTATGTGGGATCCGAACCCTTGGGCGGGAGCGCCGCTGCGCTTCCCAAGTGGCGCACTTATCCAGTGCGCCACCGGGCCGGCCCCCACCTTTTGAATTTTATAGTCCGTGTATAGAGTACATTGCCTACCCAAAATTAAATTAAATAATTTATTTTTAAAAGTACCTTCAATACTTGAGAGAGGAAAATACTTGCACGTATGAGAGACAAGGGATTATTCCAAATTTTTATTTGTAAAGCATTCAAAATCTATAAGGAAAACAAGCAAAGGCCATAAACACAGGAGGAAATACACACGGCCCATGAATATACGAAAAGACACTCATTCTCAAGAGGAATTAAATAACGGAATTCCATTTTGAGCTGACAACTGGCAAAAAACAAAACATTTAAAAAATAACAAGGATTGAAACTGGAGAAATGAAGGTACTCAGAATGTTTGCAGGAGGAGAAATGGACACTGGGAGCTGCACAGCAGGAAACAGCACCTAGCCAAGCTGAGAACCGCAGCCAGCAACCACTCTTCCCAAATGAACTCTTCTAGACAAGGATGCTCTTTGAAGCAAAGTTTGTTACTAGAAAAACTGGAAACATTAAATGTCTGTTGTATTACTTTCCCAGTACAAATTACCTAGTAACAAAGTACCACAGCCTGGATGGCTTAAAACAACAGAAATGTATCATCTCAGTTCTGGAGACCAGAAATCTGAAATCAAGGTGTCTGCAGGTCTGATTCCTTCTGTCCCATGCCTCTTCCTAGCTTTTGGTGTCTCTGCCACACCTGGGGTTCCCTGGCATGTTGATGCATTGCTCCCATCTCTGCCTCCATCTTCACAGGAACATCGCCCTGTGTGTCTGTGTCCAAATTTCCCTCTTCTTGTGAGAGCACCAGTTATTGGATTTAGGGACAACCTAGTCCAATATGACCTCTTCTTAACTTGACTTCATTTGCAAAGACCCTATTTCCCAGTAAGGTCACATTCACAGGTTCCAGGTGGACATCAATTTGGGGAGGCACTAACTCATCCAGAACACCCATCCATGGCTAAATAAAGCATCCCATGAAATACTGCGCAGAGCTCTAATGAAGAGGTGAGTCATGTGGTACATTGCAGAAGGCCTGGGGTGAGTGATAAAAGCAAGTTGCAGAATAGGAAGCCAGCATGCTGTTTTTCCTGTTCAACGCACCCAGAAGACAACAGTACATATTTTTCCTGTGGGTACACCTGCATGCAAGTGCAAACATCTCTCTGACAAGATTCACGCTGCACCGATAACTGTGGTTACTTCGGGGGCAGGTCGTTAAGAGGCCTCTCTACCATAATCTGTAAGAATTTCATTTTTCACACTAGAGTGTATACGCGTACTCATTACCATGTTAAATTTTGCCAAGTGTTTTACAAAGCAGGCACTATCTGCTATCGGTGCCCTAGCGGCCTCCCTCCAGCAGGGGGCGCGGCCTGCCCGCCTCTCCCCGCGCAGCCGCCGCTCTCGCCCAGAAGTCCCGCCCCGACAGGAAGTCGTGCGTCGACGCGTCCCGGAAGATGGCGGCGCCCAGGAGCGCGGGAGCGGCTGTCCCGGGCCGCTGCCGAGGGCGCGTAGCTCGCATGAAGCTCAGAGGCGGGCAGGGACCGCGCCGCGGTCCTGGGGGCGGCGGGGAGGGGTCCCTGAAGCGACTGAAGCTAGCGGTGGAGGAGTTCGTGCAGGCGACCTCCGAGGAAAAAGCCCCCGGGGGCTGCGAGGGGCGCGGCGGTCCGGTGGGCTTCCGCCCCGGCGGGAGGAAAAGCCGCAAGGAGCTGCGGAAGGAGAAGCGACACCTGAAGAAGGCGCGCCGCCTGCAGAGGACGGGCGGCCACGGCGGAGCTGGCTCGGACGAGGAGAGGGACAGCGCCCGCCGGGACCCTCCGCCTCCCGAAGAGCCGCGGCCGACCACGGCCCCCCCGGCCCAGGTCACGGGCCCTTCGGCCCAGGTCAAGGCCCCCCCGGCCCAGGTCACGGGCCCCCCGGCCAAGGCCTCCCCGGGGAAGACCAGACCCGCCGCTGCCGCCAGCGCCGCCGCCCGCAAACGTGCGCTCCTAGCGGCCAACGAGGAGGAGGACCGAGAGATCCGGAGGCTGGAGCGCGGCCTCGGCCTGCACAGGCGCTACGGGAAGGGCGACGGCCACCGCCTGCCGCTCAGCTTTGCGCGCGACGGGCTGGACTACGTCCTGCGGGCCCTGGACAGGGGGCGAGGGAGCGGCGTGTACGAGAGCAGCGGCGGGGAGGAGGACGAGGAGCAGGCCGGACGGACTCCCCCCGAGAGCGCCTCCGAGAGCGACTCCGAGGACCGGAGCGAGGACGAGGAGGATGGGGGTGAAGGGCAGCAGGCGGGCGCAGACAGAGGCGGAGCGCAGGAGAAGAGGCGGGACAAGAGAGTGCGCTTTGCGGAAGAGAAGCGCGGAGACGCGGAGGGAGGTGACGCGGCGGCCCAGGTAGGGGCCCCGCCTCGGGGCAGCGCGCCCACGCCCGAGCACTGCGGGCGCTGCTTGTGGGTGGGTCGGGCTGGTCACGTTGTTCTGTCTTGTGTCCAACTTTCCATAATAGAAAGGGAGCGGAACACACGTCTAGGAGACCTCTTACCGCAGGGGCTTAGCGGCGCTCCGCCGGCTGTTCTCGGAGCACACCTTCGTTCTCAGAGGGCAGTCCCAGGTCTCCAGACCTGACTTCCGACGCCACCGTCCCTTTGTCGGGGCCTCTTTCGTGTGGGCGGCACGTCACAGCTGCAGCACCCCGACTCGCCGCCGCCCTCGCCCTGCTTCCTTTGCCGCCCAACTGCTGCTAGAGCGCGTTTCCCGCAGTGCAAGGCTAGTTCACAGCAGTCTCCAGAGTGAAGATGCAGTCAGGCCTTCGCGGGCTGACCCTCAGCCCATTTCGTCTGGGCGCCCCTGTCACGCAGCTTGAGAGCAGCCGGAGGTGGAACTGCTTGTGTTTCAGCATGCTGCCTCTAAATATATTATCCCTTCTGCCTGCGAGGCCTTTCCTCGTTTTCTCACTGTTTATTAAACACCAAGCATCTCTGGGAATCTTTTTCCCGTCTCAAGCACGTGAAACTTCATTTCTGTTCTTGATGCCTTAGCACCTGGCACCTGTGGGCAATCTCTAAATGCTGCCAGTTCCTCTCTTAGGATGTTATTTTCTCACTGTTCCTGAGTTTTCTTTCACAACCTATTGAGGTATAGTTGACACACAATCTGAAGTAACATGTCTCAGTGGCAGCTTCTGTGCATGTAAATATGCCTTCTCCAACTGAGTTAAAACTCTTAACAGTAAGGATCATGCCTTACAAATGTTTGTCTCCTTAAAGTCTGTCACTTAGGTGCCCAGGATCCATGATGATGTTTACACACACACACACCCACACACACACCCAGTTGATAATCTCGGAAATAGTGAGCAGTGGATTGATTTTGATTTTATCATATAGATTTAGATATTGTTTTGAACAAGTATGAAATGATTTTTTAGGACACTTTCCCTGCAGAACTGGTGGTACAGTTAATTTCGGTGGTTGTATACTGCCAAGCCTGCAGTAAATTAAGCTTGCAAAGCGTATGTAGGGCTCTGTTGAGTAGATTCCAGAGGTGCGCAACCAGGCCTGAAGAGCTGCAAAGAGAAACACAAGGTGATGACATGCATTCGTGTAGACATGGATGATGCCGTCCATCCAGAGCCTGGGGAGTGGAATGTTATCATGCTTATCTAGGACTGTCCTGGGCACTCCGTAAATAACTGGTGTTTATTAAACAGCAGTGGTCAGTGGTCATAACTTCTGCCAGTTTGGGGGAATTTAATATTTAAATTTCACATAACAAAAAACAGGATTCGTTCAATGTAAATTTTTTGTAATTCTCTCATTTCAAGCTGCATCTCTGTGAAAGTGATAAGTACATTCACCCTCATGTGAGGCAAGCTGAGGAGACGGTGGATGTCCAGAAAAAGGAAGAATTGGAAAGGCTAAGGAAACATGTGAAGGGTCTAATTAACAGGTAACCTTGGAAAATTGTTACATTGTATCACTTTAATAGGTTGTCTGTTTTCTAAAAATATAGAAACTATTCTAGGATTAAAATATAAGTGATGGGGCAGGGACTACAGCTGTTGATAAGATCCTTCTATTCCTGTTTTGATGCAGCCAGACCCGTACCTTGCAAAGGAGAGGATGCCCACCCCTTTGATACTTTGGATCCCTTCAGTGTTTGAAAGCAGCCCACCTGCTCTCATTGTTACTCTGAGAAGCACAAAGGAATGGGGCCGAGGTTCTGTGTCAGGCTCAGGAACAGCAGTAGAAGGACTGTCTGTGGCCTCTCACTGTAGCAACAAGTTTGCCTGGTCAGCAACATAGTCTTTTCTTCCCTCCCCCTTGCTCATTTTTCATGTCTGTGTTTTTTTATTATCCAATTTAAGAATAAAACATTAAAAACACTGATTGTAAATCATATAGGTGGGATTTCATCAGTTATCCCTGCCTTATCAGCTCTCTAGTTTTGAAAAATGAGTTAAAATCTCTCATCTGCCAACATGCCTTCTCTAGTTCTCCTGTTACCTCACCCAGATGCCCCCTTGTGCCCGTATTCCAAGCCCTCTAATCGGACTGCTGTCCTGATTTCTAACACCTCATCTAGTTTTGCTAGGTTTCCAATGTGTATTGCTTTTTGTTGCTTAACTTCTTATTTAGAAATAATTACAGATTCACTGGGAGTCGCAAAGGCTGTACAGGGAGTTCCTGTGTACCCTTCACCCAGTTTCCTCAGAGGTAGCATCTTGCATAGCTAGGGTACAGGTGAGAAGGCAGCAGCGGCAGGAAACTGACATTGGCACACCCCACAGGGCTTGTTAGGGTGTCACTGTTTTTGTGTGTGCTTGTGTAGTACCGTGCAGTTTTACTGTGTGAAAATTCATGTAACAACCACCACAATCACAGTGCAGAATGTTCTGTCCCACAGGGCTCTTTTGTGCTGCCCCTTTATGATCTCACCCACCCCTCTTTCCCCCATATTGCTTTTTATTTCTTTTTTTTTTTTTAACTAAAACCCAGACACTGTTTTCATGGAGTACCTGGGAGTTCTGCCATCACACGCTGTTCTAGTGTTCTGTTCCGCTTTAGCTCAGGTGCACACCGAGTAAACTTCCGTGTACACATATAGTCCCCCCTCTTACCATTCAAACGGAGCCACCTTTTCTCGGTGTTAGCAACTGGGGATTTTTGTGCCACCTATGAAATGGAAAGTTAGCATTTTTCCTAACAACACACTCAAAGATGGTCCCTGCCTCTGAGGATGTTAGATCAGGATACGTGGAGTATTGTCACGTAAGCTTCTGTAGACATAAAGAGCATCCAGCGTATGCTTCACTGTGGCTACATTTCAGCTGTAAAGACAACAATTATGTTATTTCAGGATTCCAAAGTATACATGGTTTTGAACGATACGTGCTGGGTTACTGAGGCAAGACAAGAATTGTTCATGGGTCAAAAGTGTGCATAACGTAAGGTATATTGGTAGCGTTGATGACTTTTTTTTTTTAATTGCACTGAAAAATAATTCCTATTTTGAAGCATTATTGCTCTCTATGTCTACAACTCTCTGCAGGTTGAGTGAACCAAACATGGCGTCCATCAGTGGACAGCTGGAGGAGCTGTACATGACCCACAGCAGGAAGGACATGAATGACACTCTGACCGCTGCCCTGCTGGGCGCCTGTGTTTCTGACACGGCTATGCCCAGCAGGCTGATGATGGAGCATGTTCTCTTAGTCAGCATCCTGCACCACACGGTGGGAATTGAGGTAGGGTGGCACCTTTCCTCCAGGCGTCAGTAGTGCACAAGGGTGGTCACTTTCACGGTAACAGTGTGGTATAGGTCGTTTTCTTGGTTGATTCCTTTTC